CACTGCTGGGGATCTTCCCCAAAGAATTAAAAGAATCATACCACAGTGATATATGTGCACCCATGTTCATAGCAGCACAGTTTGTAATAGCCAAAACTTGAAAGCAGCCCAACTGGTCATCAACTGGAGCCTGGATAAAGAAAATGTGGTTTTTTAAATAAAATGGAGTAGTACTCAGCCATTAAAAATGAGAAATTCGAGACATTTATTGCTAAATGGATGCACATTGAGGCGATACTCTTAAGTGAAATAAATAGCACACACGTGAAATACTGAATAGTTTCTCTAGTATGAGAAACTGAAAGTATAAATAAGGACTAAAAGGTATAATAGATAATGTGAAATAGGAAGAAAAGAGGCAAAGGTGAAGGGGAAGTGGGAAGGGTAGGGGAAAGGAAAGAAGGAAATGGAATCAATATGAGAAAATGTAATAATGGAAACAAAGTCTTTGCAAATAAGGAGGGATGGAGGGATTGAAGGGAGGGCAGGGGAATGGGGAAAAAATAAGAACCAAGAGAGATGATGCAAAGGTGCAAATTTCCAATTAGAAAAAAACCCAAAATATTTTAAAAACATAAAAAACTGAAATAAAGCAAATGGGAGGATTTAACAAAGTCATTAGTAATTTAGAACATATGAAATATAGCTGTAATTTTAAAATTGTGAAAGTTCTCTAAGTTGGACGTGGTGGCACATGTGTGTGATCCCAGTTACATGTGAGCTTGTGGCACCAGGCCTGGGCAACATAGAGAGAGAATGTCATCTCACAGAGAGAAAGAAAGAAAGAATGAATGAAAGAAAGAAAGAAAGAAAGAAAGAAAGGAAGAAAGAGAAAGAAGAAAGAGTGAAAGAAAGAAAGAAGTGAAAGAAAGAAAGAAAACAGCAATGAAATAGACAAGATACTGTGTAAGCTAATCTAAAAGTGGATGAAAAACAAATATATAGAAGAAATAGTAGTAGAAAATAAAGACAGAAATAGGAAATTAAAAGAATCATAAGAAAACTTCATTCAGCTCTGACAGTATATTTGAAAATCTGGAATAACTTTTATGTGAGAAAATATACCTAAACTGACATCAAAAGAAATAGATACATGTAAACAAAATGATCTCCTTAGAAGAATAGAGAAAAAAATACAGTTCCTTCTTGCATTTTCTGAAGCAGTTCTGGAAGTCCTGTCTCATGAGTACCATTACAAGGTGTGACAAAAAAAATGCAGTGAATGCTGTTGCTAAGTGCTGAGGTCTAGTTGTATTTATAGTTACACTAAACTTTCAAAGGAAAGACCATACTGGTGCCATTTAGATAGCCACAGTATTTTCTAAAGAATCATTACAAATTATTTTTACTATGCAAATATGACATTGATTCCAAAATCTGACAAATTGTAAATAACATGAGGGATGGTGAAGGAGGCTATAGACCAATTTGACATCTAAATATTGATGCCAAATATCTAAATAAGTTCTAGCAACACATTTTAAAGTTATGGCATCATTAGTTTTGGGGGATTATTCAAGAAATCAATCATAGTTCTGTATTTGAAATTATTAAATTGGAGGAACTGATTAGAAAAATCACATCATCATATCCAAAAAGGCTGAACCAGCAACTGCCAAAATGTAGCAATAATTTTTGACAATAACACTCAAGTTAATAGGCAATATATGAATACTTTCTTACTATTTTATATATGTGTATTTCAGGCTGGAAACCAGCACTGTGATTAATGGGAAACACTTGAGACATTCCAGCTAAAGTCAGGAAGATCTGACTTTGAAAAGTCAGCCCACCATCACCATTCCACCTTGACTTTTCCATGGAGGTAAGAGTTAAGTGAAATCAAAAGGTTGGGAATTTGGAAAAGAAAAGGTAAAATGTCCATCAGCATAAGAATAAGAACTGGTAAATCTTGGAGTAGTTGTACAAGTGAATATAACAAGGGCCAATAAAAGAATAAAGTTTGTACTTAAATAGAAAATATTATTACAATAAAAGACATGCTGCCATCAACTTCCCTCAAAATACTTCCCCTCACTTCAGACACAATTATCCCATCCTTCTCACTCCTCTCTGAAGCAGTTCTGGAAGTCCTTTTTCACGAGTGTCCTTATGAGGTGTGATAAAAATGCAGTGAATGCTGTTGCTGAGTACCATCCAACAGAAAGGCAGACTCATAAAAACACAATGGTGTGTCCTCATCCACCCTTATTCATTGGCTCTGATGCTGTGTGACTTCTAGTTCTTCTCCAAAGTCAAAATCACTGTGAAAAATAAATGTTTTGAACTGATTCTGAACTTCGAGGTAGTTATGACAGTGCAAATAAAGACATTCATCAAAAAGGGTCAATAAAACTGCTTCAGAAAGCAGCAAGAACAATGAGGTAAGTGTTGAAAGTGAGGAGGAGTATTTTGAGGAAAAATAATGACAAAGTGTTTTCTACTATAATAAATTTTTAAAATTTAAACATTCACTCCCTTTTTGATCATACCTTGCATACACCAAGAAAATGGAAGTTTTACAGCTGCACATTTTTATATGGTAGACTCTCAAAAACATAATGTAAAGTAGCAATAATAAATAATATACAGAAGAATGCATAAGGTATGATTCTACTTGCACAAATTTTCAAACAGATAAAACCATAGCATTTGACAGTGAAACCATATAGTTGTGCAAAGAATAACTGCTGCAAAATGCAGCTGAGTGGTTACTTCCAGAGAGTAGTGAAGAGTGATTTAGATGGGCACAAAGGGCCCGGGGATTTAGCTCAGTGGTTCCCGTGCCTGCCTCGCAAGCGCAAGGTCCCGAGTTTGATCCCCGGCACACACAAAAAATAAAATAAAATAGATGGGCACACAGGGATCTTCTTGGGTAATGACAACGGTCTGTTTCTTAAACAGGGTGATGGATAGACAGGTTTTCATGTTTTTTTCCTGCAGTACTAGGGTTTGAACCTAGAGCTTTGGACATGCTAGGCAAATGCTCAACCATTGAGCTACATTCTGTCCCTTTCTATTTTGATACAGGGTCTCACTAAATTGCACAAGCTGGCCTCAAGTTTGCAATCCTCTGTTCTCAGGCTCTCTATTAGCCAGGGTTATAGGCATGTGCCATCACACCTGGTTTATTGTTATTCTTTAAGCTATACATTCACTATATTCTCTTGATATGTGATATTTTCACAAACCAAACTAAATTTTATATTTTTGCTTTTAATTTAAAAAGAACTTATATTGAATATGGACTTGTTTGATGTTTTACTACTTTGACATTTAAAATGTCAAAATAAGGGCTGGAGATTTAGCTCAGTGGTTTAACTGCTTGCTGCGCAAGCTCAAGGACCTGAGTTTGATCCCCAGTAGCAAAAATAAAATAAAATAAATAAAATGTCAAAATAATAAGATATCAACACATATGTCCCCTGGACTCTGGACAGACTTATGCTGGCACTAACACAAAGAGAATTTAACCATACAAATAATTGTGATGATATCTCAGGTTTCTAAGAGCCAAGTCATCAGCCAAGGAAAAGAGGATTAATAAAAGAACAAGAAAACGTCAAACAGGAAAGTCAAATATGAAATAAGGGAAGATAAAAAATATTCTTGCTAGAAAATGAAAACCAGCAAACCTGTTAAGAATCATAGACTTACCTTTAAATTTTTAAATAATTCTTTTACTTTTTAATTGTTCATCCATAAATATTTCAACATGTTTATTTAAAAAATAAAAACTCTTTTAAAAAAGTACCATTAACACACCTAAAAAATTAACAATAATTCATCCATTCAGTAAACACTAAAGCCAAGAATAAAAACACTAAAATAAGCATTCAAATATAGTTTTGTATGTTGCAATCAATTGGTGTATCACTTAAATCTTTTAACTTATGTTTCCCTTTCATCTTTATTTAAATTGCAATTTAGTTATTTTTTAAAATAGAGTTTTCCCCCCTTAGACTTATTCAAAATTTGCTTTTCTCATGGTAAAATTAAACAATACCATTCCCATGGTATTATTTAATGGGTTCCTCTGTCTTTGTAGTTCCATAAATTAGTGGTTTGACCTGAGGAAGTTGCCCTCAAATGGTGGACATGGACCACATTCCCAGCATTACTACTTACTAGAAATTAAAACTACTGAGACTCATCCCAACTCTAACAAATCAAAAACTCTGGGGGCTGGGGATTTAGCTCAGTGGTTCCGGAGCCTGCCTCGCAAGTGCAAGGTCCCAAGTTCAATCCCTGGTACCAAAAAACAAAACAAAACAAAACAAAACTCTGGCTGTGCAGACTAATAATCTGATTCCACAAGCCTTTCAGGTGATCCTGATTCTGCTGTTGTCTAAGAATGGCTGACCTAGAGATTTTGTCTGGCTCAGGTTTGGTGTTTTTGGCAAGATTATTTCATACTAGTGATCTATTCCTTTAAAAAGCATATAGTATCTGATTATCTTTCTTTTTCTGGTCAGTGATGCTCAGTGCTGAAATCTAGGAGGCATACTAAAGATTACAAAATGGAAATAGTCTCATTTTATTATTCTTTTATTTATTACATGAACTGCTTCTGTAAGAAATTGCTTTAACCCTTTTCCGGTCCATGGCTGCGGAAGCTGAAAGAGCTGGGATTATTAGGTTGTGGCTCCGGGGTTGATTCACCTTCTCCTGGGTAGAGCCCCGGGCCACCTGCAGAAGAAGCCAGGAGAGCAGTAAAACATGAACGGAAGAGGGGATTATTTGATCACTGAAGAAGAGATCAATCTTACTAGAGGACCCTCAGGAGAGAAGCTCAGCTGGTCCGAGCACCTGGAAGGAAGCTCCCCAGCTGCCATCCCAGGCTTCTAGGGCAGAGAAGCTCAGCCGGTCCCAGAACCCAGAAGGAAGCTCCCCCGCTGCCATCCCAAGCTCCTAGGGTAGAGAAGGTGAGCCTCATGGGCACCAGAAGCAACCTCCCCCCGCCCCCCGCCGTGGAAATGAGAAGACACATAAACAAGCCTCAAAAACAGACTTCCAGATCACCTGCAGCAACCCCAAAGGGAAACAAGATGGAACAATCTGATACTCAATCACCTGGACTCTCTGAACTGGCAACAAAAGAGGATCTGGGAAAAATGAAATCAGAAATAATTACTCAGATAACAGCAAAGATTTTGCTCATGGTGCACGACATGATTAATAAATCTAGAGAGGACACAGATTAAAAAAATAGAAGATCTGAGGAACATGATGGAATCCCAACATAGGAAACAAATGGAATCCATAAAACAGATACAAACAGATTTCCAAGAGATTAATAACTTCAACAAACGTCTGCAGCAGAACGAACCAATGTGAGGATAGAATTTTACATATAGAAGATAAGATTGCAATTAGTGATCAGGAAAAGAAAAATTGCTCTAAAATTGTAAGGGAACACGAGAAATCAATCCAGCAGCTGCTAGACAGTGCAAAGAAGAATAACATAAGACTGATTAGAGTCAATGAAGAAACAGGAGAGAGTGCAGATGACATAAAAAACTCTTCACAGAAGTGATGGCAGAAAACTTCCCAAGGAGGGGAAAAGAATTTGACATACAGATAAGTGAGGCATATAGGACTCTAGCTAGCCTTAATCAAAATAATCTACACATAGGCATATAATAGTTAAGATTCCAGAAATCCAACAGAGGAACAAAATTCTACAAGCAGTGAGAGAAAAGAAACAAATCACATACAAAGGAAAGCCCATCAGAATCACAGCAGACTTGTAAAGACAAGAACAGCTTGGAGTGACATATTTCAAGCCCTAAAGGAAAACAGCCTCCAACTCAGAATGATGTACCCTGCAAAACTATCTTTCAAAATTGATGGAGAAATAAGGTACTTTCATGATAAAGAGCACCTCAGGAACTTTAAGAAATTGCTCTTACCTACATTTTAGTAACCTAGCGTTCCCAAACAATTTCAAACTTACTGAGTGAAAGAATACTACTACAAAAATCTTATATACTCTACTTACATTCAATTCTTAATAATTTTTATACATATATATAATATATAATATACTTGAAAGCAGTTTATAGACATCATGACCTTTCCCTTTAAATAATACAGATAATCTATAAAACCATCTAAATAATTTAATACTGAGTAATAATACCAAATATAGAATCCATACTCAGACTTCTTCAAGTGTTTCCAAACTGTCCTTTGTTGGAGTTATTTTTGATCTGAGATCAAATAGTAGATCATACACTACATGTGATTGTATGCCTCTTTGAGTTATTTAATCTAGAATAGTTTCTTCTTGGTTATCTTTTATGATATTAGCATTTTTGAATTAACAGTGCTAATTGCTTATGGAAAATTCCATAATTTTGTTTTCTTGTGAATATGTACAGATTAAAGATTTTGATAAGAATAATATATAAATTTTGTTACACACTTCCAATTGCATCTCTTCAAGAGTCACATCATAACAATTTGTCCCATTACTGAGGATGCTAGATCTCATTAAAGTAGTTAATTGTCAGATTTTTCTATTATGAAAGAAGGAAAATTCATTTTATAAACTTGATTTTATTTAGCTTAATTAAAAACATACAATGAAAATATTGAAGTAAATTGTCATTATCACAAAATGAATTTAAAGTCTAGTCTATAACTTTCCAGACAGCATTAATCTATGCAGAATACACCTCTGCTTTTTCCAAGCCATCACAAACTTCACTTAGGAGTTCTTTTCTTGGAAAAAAATTTCTATTAATTTCAAATTTCTATTCTTGTTCTTTTGTCTCTAGTAGACGTATGCCTAATAATGTGAATATTTACAGTCTCTTTCTT